CTGTTCAAACTTGTTTCCTTCCCCCGCCGGCCACGACGAGGGCTCCCGTGTGCGGGTGTGTGCCCCGACCGGCCCGCCCACCCCCGTTTGGCGGGTGGGGGCGGCTCTTAAAGGGCTCTGGGCCCGGTCCCGGGCGCCCGGGGATTGGGGTCGAGGAAGGGGCCTGCGGGTGGGGCAGGGGTGCCCAGTGCTGTAGGGTCAGTCACGTGAGCCCCACTTACGTCCCCCTGCTCCCGCAGACTCCTGGGCCGCCGGGCCCTGGGGGCAGCAGGAGCCGCCCCTCGCCCAGGGAAGGAACCCAGGCGCCCAGACTAGCCCGCCTCGTTTTCCCTCCCCGCTGCGGGCCATTGCCCGGCGGGACCGGCTGGGCCTCTCCTCCAGCCCCGTCTTGGGGCTGAGCCCCAGGGCCAAGCTCCCAGGCTGGGGCAGAGGGTGGGGGCACTGGCGCGCCCTCCTTCCTGATCGGTCTCCTGGTCGGCCTGCCTCCCGGCCATCCGCTCCGCGCCCCAGCATCCGAATCGCCATCCCGGCCCCTCTCCTCTGCCACGGCTGTTTCCAACTTCCTGTTTTCTTCCCGGCTCTGGCGCCATCGAGGGCCGCCTGGAGTGGGGAGGTGGTAGCCCCCCCCCCCGCTGCCCCCCCAGGCTGGCGTGCCCTTCCTCTACTAGCTCTCCTCCCTTCCGATCCATCCCTGTGGTCCCCTAAAAAAGTTCAGGAGATCACGTGAAGTTGGGGGGTGCCAAGAAGTATGGCTCCCCAGGTTTCCATAGTCTGGGGGAATCCCTACCCCGCCTCGGTGGGACCCAGGTGTGCTTTTTGGGAGCACGCCAGGTGGGCCCTTGCTGTCCGGTCGGCTGGCCATCTCCACCCCTTGCCTCCGGGATGGCTGGACCCTCCCCTAGCTGTGTCTGCTGGCTGCACCCCTCTGGTCCCGGGGGCTTTCTGGGTGCAGGCCCCGGTATTTTTCTGCCCTAGCACGTGGACCCATCCGACACGCGCACACATGCTCCTGGTGCCCGTGCCTGGCTCCCAGCTCCGAGGCCTAGGGAACAGAGCCCCATTGAGACACCCTGACGTCACCCCCCCTTCATTCTCTCCCCCAAAGCCCGGAACAGGCCCTCGTGTATGTCCGACGAGGAAAGCTGATGCTGGCTGACTCAGGGAGTGGGGAGGGTCCCTGCCAGGAGTGGGAGCCAGGGTCCTGACCTCAGGGGGTTGCCCTGGGAGGGGGGGGTTGACAAGGGGTCCTGGGACAGCTCCTGGAATGCAGCTTGAGGCCTTTCCAAAGCACCCCCCCACCTCCTTTCCCAGTTCCCTTTGTGTAGCTTGTAGTCTCTCTCACTCCCTCTTCTGCAAAGTTTATTTTTAGCCTCCTGCTCCCCCGCTCCCAGGACTGTCGCTGCACACACGTTGCCTGGTTACCGGGACACGGAGGCTGGGGCGGGTGGGCTGGGAAGGGTGGCTTAATTTTGGGGGGAGGGTGGAAGTCAGTACATCCTCCCCCAACCCCAGACTGATGCCTCCAGGACTTCTGCACCTACCCCTCCCGGGGCTGGAAGCCCACTTGGGGTTTAGGTGGAAGTAGCATGGAGCTCGGGGGCCCTGGGCCGGGGACCAGGAGCTGGTGGGGTAGGGTAGGGTAGGGGTGGCTGGGGGCACATGGCCATTTGGGTTTTCAAGGGTTTGGGCAAGACAGGGACATGCTGGGACTTGGGTTCTTCCCCAGCGGAAAGAGTGGGGCGTGGGGGACATCTGGCTTTGCTGAGGTCCCTGGAAGGGGTTGACTGGGATTTGTACGGAGCAGGGACTGCCAGTGTGGACACCCAGGCGAGTGACCAGCTGAGGGACCTGTGTGGCCCGGAGGAATGGGATTTGTGAATGTTGTGGGAACTCTGGCTAACCCCTGGCCTCAGGGCAGGGTGTGGGGTGGGGTCAGGAGCTGCACTTGGAGGTGGTGGTTGGAGTCAGGTATGGGTGTGGACCGTTCTGCTTCCTAGAGGAAGGGTCTCGCCCTGTGTTTGGATTCCAGACTGGGGTGGAGTTTTGCGGCAGGTTCCCTGTGGCCTAGAGGCCTGATCTGGTACCTGCTTGTTCCGAGGACGAGGAAATCACCTCCCCAGGCCCGGCTGGACCTGGCTCTTCTGATCTGCCCACCAAGGCTTTTTTCTCTGGTGGCACCAGGGGTTGGGCCCTGCCTCCCTCTCTCCCTCCTTGCCTCCCCCTCCCGCCCTCCTCCCACCCCTCCATTACCGGCTGCCTAGTACTGAATTATTGATGGGCCCTGATTACCCGGGGGTTTGGGAAATGACAACAACCGCCGCCCCCCCCCCCACCCCAGGCTGCCCACCCTCTCCAGGGACCAGCCAGCCCACCACCAACCTCTAGCCAAGGTTAATGTTGGGAGCGGGCAGGCAGGTGGGCAGGGGGGAAGCTGGCAGAAGGGGGAAGAGGGCTCCGGGGGGCCTGCTCAATGTCAAGGTCTTGGAGGGAGGGGCATGGGGGGGGGCGGGCTGCAGGCAGACAGGGCCCGGATGCCTGGGTCTGGAGAGAGCTGTGGAGTGCGGAGGGGGTCCAGGGCTTGGGCGGGGGTGCTCTAGACAGTCTGGGTTTCAGGAACCGGGGAAGACAGAAGCCTCTGTGTGTAAGCGCTGACCTCATCTGCAACCAGCCACCCCACCCCTCCTGGTCCTTTAAAAAAAAAGTTCCTTTTGGCTCCTGGGGTAGGACTTGGGGCTCCCTTCAGGTCTGGAAGGGGGTGACAGCATAGGCTTCTAGGAGACCAGAGGCTCTGAGTAACCCTGGGGTGGGTTTGTGGGGAAGGGGGGGTGGGCTCTGTCCCATCCTGCCTAGCCACGTGTCTTTGGGTCGCCCCTTCCTGCCCCTCCCCCACTGGCAGCCCTGCCCACCATCCTGGCTTGGTGCCTGGCCCCCTGGCACTGGCCCCGGGACCCGCCGCCGCCGGTTTCCTGTTTCTCCCGGTGTCGCCGGAGCAGGCTCCAGCTTCCCCTCCCCCCGCAGCTCCCTTCTAGCCCCCCTTCACAGACAGACAGGCAGAGAGGGATAGATAGACAAGACACTGTCTACAGGGTCCTGGGAGGATGAATTTCCCCATGCTGAAGGGGCGGGGCAAGCTGGCGGGAGATGGTAGGCGGTAGACATGGAGTTGGGACCCTGAGCCCAGACTCGGGGTCCTGACGCGGGGCCACCCCCCTGCCTTTGTGCTCCAGGGTTTGCCTTCCCTGACTGGGCCTACAAGCCGGAGTCGTCCCCGGGCTCTCGGCAGATCCAGCTGTGGCACTTTATCCTGGAGCTGCTGCGGAAGGAGGAGTATCAGGGAGTCATCGCCTGGCAGGGGGACTACGGCGAGTTCGTCATCAAGGACCCCGACGAGGTGGCCCGCCTCTGGGGGGTCCGCAAGTGCAAGCCCCAGATGAATTATGACAAGCTGAGCCGGGCCCTGCGGTGAGGAGGGGGCTGAGGACAACTCCCCTGCCTTTCCCGGTGCTGGGCACAGACTGGGTGTGAGACCCAACACGGCTGCACGATATCTGTGGGCCTCCTCTGAGCCCTTTGGTCACCCAGGGGTGCCCTTAGAATAGAATCTAGGGGCACAACCTCTTGGGGCCTGTGCTTCAGGGGCACCCTCTATGGGCCATGTGCCCACAGTGCGGTGCCAAGACTCGGGGTCCTGACTCAGGTCTCTTGCTGCTACTGCCCACGCTTAATACGTGTTTCTGTGCCCATAGCTATTATTACAACAAACGGATTCTGCACAAGACCAAGGGGAAGCGTTTCACCTACAAGTTCAACTTCAACAAGCTGGTGCTGGTTAATTACCCCTTCATCGACATGGGGCTGGCTGGTGAGTTCTGGCGGGCAGGCAGGTGGGCCTAGCCTTAGAGGGAGGAGGGGGGAGGGGGTGTGGGGTGTGTGTGTCTGTGTGTCCAGGTCAGGCCAGGGGCCTTGATACCAAGCCTCCTCTGTCCTGGCAGGGGGTGCCGTGCCCCAGAGCGCCCCGCCAGTGCCATCGGGCGGCAGCCACTTCCGCTTCCCTCCCTCGACGCCCTCTGAGGTGCTGTCCCCCACTGAGGACCCCCGTTCACCACCTGCCTGCTCTTCGTCCTCCTCTTCTCTCTTCTCGGCTGTGGTTGCCCGCCGCCTGGGCCGGGGCTCCGTCAGTGACTGTAGCGATGGCACCTCGGAGCTGGAGGAGCCGCTGGGAGAGGACCCCCGGGCCCGGCCCCCCGGCCCTCCGGAGCTGGGTGCTTTCCGAGGCCCCCCGCTGGCCCGCCTTCCCCATGACCCTGGTGTCTTCCGGGTCTACCCCCGGCCCCGGGGGGCCCCCGAGCCTCTAAGCCCCTTTCCTGTGTCGCCCCTGGCTGGGCCCGGCTCCCTGCTGCCCCCTCAGCTCTCCCCGGCTCTGCCCATGACGCCCACCCACCTGGCCTACACGCCCTCACCCACCCTGAGCCCCATGTACCCTGGTGGTGGCGGGGGCCCTAGCGGCTCTGGGGGAGGAGGCTCTCACTTCTCCTTCAGCCCCGAGGACATGAAACGGTACCTGCAGGCCCACACCCAAAGTGTCTACAACTACCACCTCAGCCCTCGCGCCTTCCTGCACTACCCCGGCCTGGTGGTGCCCCAGCCCCAACGCCCCGACAAGTGCCCACTGCCGCCCCTGGCACCTGAGACCCCGCCGGTTCCCTCCTCGGCTTCCTCCTCCTCCTCTTCCTCTTCTTCCTCCCCCTTCAAGTTCAAGCTCCAGCCGCCCCCGCTTGGACGCCGGCAGCGTGCAGCTGGGGAGAAGGCTCCGGTGGGCCCTGACCAGAGCGGCAGTGGGCCTGGCCGGTTGGGTGAGGGGTCAGGGACCTTGGCTCCACCCCCGCCGCCCCAGATCAAGGTGGAGCCCATCTCAGAAGGGGAGTCAGAGGAGGTGGAGGTGACTGACATCAGTGACGAGGATGAGGAAGATGGAGAGGTGTTCAAGACCCCCCGTGCCCCGCCTGCGCCCCCCAAGCCTGAGCCCGGCGAGGCGCCCGGGCCAACCCAGTGCATGCCTCTTAAGCTGCGCTTTAAGCGGCGCTGGAGCGAGGACTGTCGCCTGGAAGGGGGTGGGGGCACCGCCGGGGGCCTGGAGGATGAGGGTGAGGACAAGAAGGTGCGAGGGGAGGGGCCCGGGGAGGCCGGGGGGCCGCTCACCCCAAGAAGAGTCAGTTCTGACCTCCAGCATGCCACAGCCCAGCTCTCGCTGGAACCCCGAGACTCCTGAGGGCTGTGGGCTGGGGACTGTCCCTGCCCCC